AATTATGAATGGAGCCAGTTATAATTAAAATTATTTTTATCTATCCATCTAACACTTTGTTGATATTATGTTAAACATAAAACACAAATGGTAATACTGTATAAACCTTTGATATATATATACATATATATACTATTATTCTTTTTAAGCATGTTGATTAAAAAAAACGTTAATTTAAATATTATTCCATGCTACTGTTTTGACCAGTTCCAAAAATATAAAGTAAAGAAATTATTATTTTTTGAATATTCTGATACTAAGAAATATGACCTTTTTCCATTCATTTGGTGATTTCTTCTTCATCAAGTTAACTGGGACCAAATCCCGTAACATGGATCTAGTAATAAAAAAATAGAAATATATATCAAATGATAATTTTTTATAGACAATTTGTATTTATATTTTTCACACCTTAATTGATAATAAATGTGACATTCTATCACAATAACAATGAAAATTTTAATCACATCCCTCTTTGCTGGCCCAGTGTGGGTTTGTAATAAGCAGGTTGTGTAACACATTTCAACAACAGTATATCTGTTGTATGCCATTGTTGATGAGACAGTAAGGTCTTAATTGTGATGCTGTTAATGTCACTGTTTAATGAAACATCAAGGTTTATGATGTACAATGTTTAAGCTGGTGAAGATGATCACACATGTGATATTAGTTCACAATGAGACAAATCATATTTTTACAGTTTACAGATCCTTCTCGTCCATCTTAGGCATTATATACCAGAACGTTTCATTTTGAAAATACATATGAGTAGTGTGTTTTTCATGCTTTACAGAACAGTGTGCAATATGTTAATTTAACCATCACAATTTCATATTAATACTCACAAGATATGGAATTAATTAAAAGATCACATTGAAATAAAATAATAACACTACAATAATAACACTACAATAAAATTGCTGAGAAACTGTGGAATTGTAGAAAATGTTGCTTGTTTTATAATAATACTGGAATTTAAACAAAATCTCACAATGCCCCAAAGGATCAACGAACTCCATGAAGCGAAAGGAAGATCTACTAGATATTAATTAAATTATAAATATATCAATTCATGTGAATATGACTGAAAATTTTCATTTTTTCAGAAAAGGTGGTGTCTATTTACTTGTGACCACGCTGTGTATGTTATAGTTTTTTCATAATTAAATATAGTGATCCAATAATTTAACATAGTTTGATATCAATAACCTTTTACTTAGATTATTTTATGGTTATTATTAATAGTAATTACAAAGACAAACCAATGTTCTGTTGAAATGTGTAGTGGGCTCTCTACACAAATTTTTCATTATGCTTCTAAATCATTCTTGATTAATTTACCATTTTATTAGCATGATGTGCTTCTGATTTATTATTTTATGATTTTAGAGTTTAAGATATCTAACTTTCATGGTTGTTTTTATTAGAAATAAGTAATGCTTTATTACAATTAAATTTCATATTATTCTTTACATACAGAGCATTTGGTTTTGCTCTTAAATTTCAAGTAATAATCTATGCTAACATACTTTTTATTTGCTTTTTCCATAGCATTAAAGTTTTGTGCTTGAACTTTGAGAATATATAAGAATGGTTGTATGTTAAGGGTATGTTATGTTCATTCCCTGTGTGAGATGTACAGCTTTGTTTATGATGCTTTTTATGTAGCTCATATCTTTGTGTAAGTGGAAATACATAGCTTCCAGACAGATATTTATGCTCTCTCTAATTTTCTCCTTACTCAAGCTACAAGAAGGCCTTTTTTCAAGATTATTTAAGGATTTTCATTCTTCCTAGTTTTTCAACAGGAAAACGATGCATATAAATCCATTACCTTTAATGAAGAGTTAAAGATTTTTATGTGTATGTTAAAATATGTGGTGGACATAATATATTGATGAGATCCAGAGTATTTTAAAAGTAATTTAAATCTTTTATGTTGTTTTTTTCTTTAACAATATTAATGTAATTGTAAAAAAATACCAATCCAAGCTGCATTAATAAACTCCAGGTGCTGCCCCACAGTTTGCCTATCAGGTATTTTTCTTGAAAAAGATTTGGACAAACACAATACCTAGGAAAGACAAGAATGCTGATATCATCTTCCATTTCTACCAGGTAAACTTTTTAAGATACTTAACAAAAAAATTATTACATAGTAAAAGGTTGACAAAGTTAGTCTAATTTAGATTTTTGAAGGGTTTGATTGCCTTTTACAAGCTTGTGGAGCATGATTATGATTAATTATACTTGTCATAAAACTTTAGCGCTAGGCCTATGTTTTTAAACACTACATTCTTTATATAGTCCCTTAGGGATTTTCAAGAATTATAAGAGTATGGTTGGAATACTGTTATATATTCTTATAATTCATGAAAATCCCTGAGGAACTAGATAACAAATGTACTTTTTAAAAACATATTAAGCTTAATTATAGATTTTTTTGCTGTTGTTGAATTTGCAAAAAGGTGAAATTTTCTTGGCAGGTGAGTGTAACTTCAAAACATGGTAAATATGATATGTCAGACAGAAAAGACAATGCTTAAGTACTTGGATTTGAGGTTAAGTCCTACATACAAATTTTTTTTTATTTGCTTATGATGGTTTCATGTACTCATCAGTGTTATAGTAGCAATTACTTTTCTTATATTGCATTAATAATGTAACTGTGTACCTCTAAAATAAATGAAGTTTATATAACTTATTTTTTCACTATATTCTTTAAAGTTTGTAAAAGTGTATACAATTAAAAATGTGAGAATGAACAACAGTTTTTTATTTCAGTAACCAAACAAATGAACTAATCTTTTATTATATTGTTTAGTGTGAATAAATTTTATAAAACCTATATAGGTCATTTAGTCAGATATTTATTCTTTAATAATGAGAGTTTGGTGATTTTATAACTCTAAAAGAGTTTTAAGCTGACATAAAACACTGTTTATAAGATTAAAGTCCAGACTGAAAAACTAGAATGTTTTTAATTTCATTTTGAATTTTGGCAAAAGAGAAATGAGAGTCTTAGCCTGTTTTTGGATTTACTACATGTCACCGAGTTAAATTTTAACGTATTGAATCCATTGACTGAAATACACAACTTTACATTTTCTAACTCTAACTGATAAACATTTGAAGTAATGAAATAGAAAAATGTGGCTAACTGTAATGTCTGCTATAGAAATAGAAGTTTTTAATTTGTGGGTTTATGATATGTCAGATTATAATTACTTGTATTTAAAATTTACAGCTGTTAGTAAATAACACTGTTTTTGTGTGAACATATTTGCTCCGAACACGAGCTCAGTGATTTTTTTAGGCATTCTGTAAAAAATTTTCTACCATAGGAACTTCCTAAACTTCTTCGTGGCTATCATAAATGTAGTATTGAAGAAGCTATAAAACTGGCTGCTTTGGTTTATCGAACCAAGTTTGGTGACAGAAAAGAAGAGTTGCAGTCCATTCCGTAAGTAGAAACTACATTTTGAACTGAGGCAAGTAATATAGTGCATCTGTGTTAATTGATATTTTTCTTTTAAACTTCAAAACTAGCTTGTTGTTTGTCAATTTACTATCAAAACTAGCTAAATATTTTTTCAATTCAAGTTATTCATCACAATAACTTTTGTCAAGTAAAACATACTACATGTTTATAATTAAATGCAGTTAAGATAGTGCTTTCTTGCATTTAATATGGTTCTTCATTCTTCAAATAAACGATGTATCATGCAATTGAATCATCTCATCAATTTTAGATTGTGGGATTTTCGCCCACTCTTGCTTCAAAACTTGGAGTAGATCGCTCTTCGAAGTTGGTTTTTTCTGGTTGTTTCTTGACTTGCCGGTCGAGTATGGCCCAGAGGTTTTCGATGAGGTTCATGTAAGAAACTGGCTCGGCCAGAGCAACTTCTGGATACTATTTTCTTCCTGCCACTTTTGGGTGTTTCTAGCAGTGTGACACGTGCTCCATCTTCCTGGAACAACGTTGTGTTATTGTCCACGAAACCCGAGGAATAAAGTGGCAAGAGTCATTCCTCCAATATTTCGACGTATTTCGCAAAATTTATGTTGCCAACGAACTCCACTAAGCTCGATATCCCACCAACCCAAACAGCTCCCCAAACCATTACGCTGAAAACACCATGCTTCACAGTTGATTGCAATCTGTTGAGCCAAAACTTTTGGTGAGGCATTTTCCA